CGGACACCATGATTGCGCTCACATCCACAAACTACAATATGTGGAAGCCTCGGATGGAGGATTTGCTAAATTTGAGGGATTTAGTGGATCCTCTTGATAATAATGGTGTGAAACCGGATAAAAACACGGATGAAGAATGGACAAAAATGAATCGAAAAACTGTCGCACAAATTCGACAATGGATAGATCATAGTGTGTTCCACCATGTTGCTCAAGAACAAAGTGCTTACACACTATGGGAGAAGCTTGGTAGCATGTATCAAGCAAAAACCGGCCGAAATAAGACGTTACTAATGAGGAGATTAGTAAATCACAAATTACGTGGGGGTATTTCGGTGTCAGAACACATCAGTCATTTCCAGGATCTTGTGAATCAGTTGAGCACCACTGGATGGGTTCTCAAAGATGAAGAGCAGGCGATACTACTCTTGAGCTCTCTACCTGACAGCTGGGAGACTCTTGTTGTCACTCTCAGTAATTCTGCTCCAAATGGGAAGGTGACTATGCAGATGGTCACAGATGCCCTGATGAATGAAGAAGCCCGAAGGAAGGAAGCCGGGACGGAACAATCATATGTCCTCATATCAGAAACTAACAGACGAGAGGGAGGCAGAAATGGAGGAAGAAGTTGAGGTCGAGGTAGAGGTCAAGGTCAAAGTAGAGGAAATTCTCAAGTTCGCGGAAGATCACAAGAGAGAGGTATGTCCTTTGAAAACAATACTTGGTTCGAAGGATATTGCAATTACTGTAGTAATTATGGACATAGGAAAAGAGATTGTAGAAAGTTTCTACGAGAGAAGCCACAGACGAGTCAAAATACTAGCCAAGAAGATGGTGAGACCATGGTTAGTTTGTCATCAGACGTGTGTCTTGTTACACATGGTGAACAAGAATGTTTACACGTAGGCACTCATGATGTTGAGTGGGTGATTGATACAGCCGCATCATTTCACGCCACTCCACACCAGAACTTATTCACAACTTATAAGTCCGGAGACTTTGGAGCTGTGAAGATGGGAAACACCAGTTTCTCGAAGATTGTTGGCATTGGTGATGTGCAAATAATAACCAATGTCGGATGCGCACTTGTGTTGAAAGATGTTCGACACGTTCCAGATCTTAGATTGAATCTTATCTCCGGTACAGCTCTGGATCAACAAGGATATCTTAACCGATTCAAAGAAGGTACGTGGAAGCTATCTAAAGGTTTCTTGGTTGTTGCAAGAGGCCATATTTGTGGCACTCTTTATAAAACTCATGCAAAGTTGTGTCATCCGAGTCTCAATGCTGTTGAAGAAGAGATATCACCAAACTTGTGGCACCGGAGGTTAGGTCACTTGAGCGTGAAGGGATTGACAACTCTTGCAAAGAAGGAAGTCATTTCCATGGGCAAAGGTGTTGCCCTAGATTCATGCGAGCACTGTCTATTTGGGAAACAACACAAGGTTTCCTTCAGTTCTACCAAGAAGAACCATACAGAGTTACTCAGTCTTGTCCACTCTGATGTATGTGGACCCATTGAAGAGGAGTCACTTGGAGGAAGCAGATACTTCGTGACATTCATTGATGATGCATCACGAAAGGTATGGGCCTACTGTTTAAATCGTAAGGATCACGTGTTTGATCGATTCAAATCATTTCATGCCATGGTAGAAAGAGAAACAGGGAAGAAGCTGAAGTGTCTGCGTTCAGACAATGGAGGAGAGTACACTTCCCGAGAATTCTCAGCATATTGTGCCGCATATGGAATCAGACATGAGAAGACGGTTCCACGAACTCCGCAACACAATGGTGTAGCCGAAAGAATGAATCGGACCATTATGGAGAAAGTTCGTTGCATGTTGAGTCTGGCTAAGCTACCTAAGCCATTTTGGGGTGAAGCTGTGCTGACAGCTTGTTATCTTATAAACAGGTCACCTTTTGTTCCTTTAAACTTTGAAGTGCCAGAGAAGAAATGGTCAGGAAGAGATGTTTCTTACTCTCACTTGAAAGTGTTCGGGTGCAAGGCATTTGCACATGTGTCCAAGAAGTTGAGACAGAAGCTTGATCTCAAGTCAAACCCATGTATCTTCATCGGCTATGGAGATGAAGAATTCAGATACCGGTTGTGGGATCCCGAAGTGAAGAAAGTTATTCGAAGCAGAGATGTTGTATTTCATGAAAACGAGTTTCATGGGTGTGCTCCAATAATCCACCAACAACATACTCCAGAAGACGAAGTGCCTGTATCATCAAACATTCCTCTCAGCGACGAGGAGATGCATGATTCTACTGAACATGAGAGTGATGGTTCAGCAGGTGATGATGATACTCACAGTGATGATATTCCTCAGCAGGGGGAGCCTTCATCTGAAGACGAATCTGAAGGTATTCATGTTCGACGTTCTATGCGAGGCATAGTTCCACAAAGAAAATAATCCACATCCGAATGGATACTTGTTGCCAGCGAGGGGGAGCACCGCATGAACGAGAGAAATAAAGAAAAAGGTGGAGGGGGAGATTTGTAGGTATCTTCCACCTTCTTTCTTGGAAGTTGCCAAGAGACACCTTAACATGGAGGCACCTTCTTGGAAAGAGCTCTCCAACAAATAGGTGTGGGAGAAGATATGGAGATAACTAGGAAGCTTGGATGCAACTTCCTCATGTCTCCAAACCAGCCCTATAAATAGAGTGCTCCATTGTTGTTCATAGTATCAGTTTTAGAAAGTGAGAAAAGTGTGTGAAGAGTGAAATACACTTAGTGTAGAAGTGTATTGGTGAGGATTGGTTTTTTGTAATAGTTGAGTGTGAGAGTTTGCTCCTCCTATTGTAATTCTGTTCTTGATATTGAATAGAAGAATTTTCCAATCCCAACAAACTCTGCATGAAGAAATCCAGCCAGCTGATTTCCCTTCTACACTTAGGCCGCCACCTCACTTAACTAATACTCTTAGAATAGCTATAATTCATACACATCTATGGAGCTTAGATTAGTTGGTAGTTTAGATTTTACACCCATGTAATCTAGACTAGTGTTAGACATTCTGGAGCGCTTGGTGATCAAATCCAGATGGTGAGAAAGGGCAAGGACATGAGTAGCTCTTGGCAAGTCAATGCCATTAGTGAAAAACCTTCGGAGGACATGAGTAGCTTGGAATGGTGATGTCATTCCTCGTGAAAAACCTCACAATCTACGGTTGGGCCAAGGGTGGATTGAGTACTAGATGTAATGGGATATACATTTAGTGAAAATCCATATGAAATAGGTTGGGACTGGATATAGAGGGATTACACCGTCTCTGAACCAGGATACACCGTGTGTCATCTTTACATTCTGCACCTAACACTTATTTCGGTTCTCACTCACCTTCACAATCTCACAAAGCACAACAACTTGTTCATGAAATTGTCCAAGTTCACTATGAGTCATCTCCTTGTCATCTACTTTTCAAAGTGATCTATTTCTATGGATCTAAATCTGTGTTAGACTAGTTCTAAAGCCAACCAAAAAGTTAGAGTATAGTGCATTGCTATACCTTAAATAAATCAAACATAAACACTTTTTCAGCAGCCTGCTCCTAAAGGTTTCAGCAGCCAACTCCAAATCATCTAGCAGTCGGCTCCCTCAGGATTTCAGCAGCCTGCTGATCGAGTCATCTGTTCCTGGCAAACACATTTGCACCCTGTTCAAACCATCTCTCTCACAACTAAAAGGGTCGTAACCTTTGTTCCTATAAAGTGTCACACTCTTGAGGTCAAGACTTCTGTTGCATGTTTCAATATCTCTCAAAAGATATTGAAACTCATTCTGTTGGGAACTCAGTTGATAACGAAAAGATTTGAAAGTCGATCCCCCCCCCCCCCCCCCCCCCTCTAGACTTTCACCTCACTTGGGAACTCAGTTGGTATCAAGGGCACTCATCACATTGTTTTTGCGACTATTTTTTCGGTCGCAAAGACCCTTTTTCTTGTAGTGGTTCTTTTGCATTAGTTTATTTTTCAAACAATCAATCTCGCACGACACATTTATTTTATTTATTATCATCGTTGAATTTAGTTAATTCTTGATTCTCTTTGTTCGTCCATGTGGAGTGGGCTTACTACTATATTTCTACATATTTTTAGTACGGGAAAACTCACATCAGTATTTGATTAGCATCACCTGTAAGTTTATTCTTATCACATGTAACGTGAGAGTTTTATGCTAACACATCAATATACATAATCAGCTAATCAATATGATTAGGGGTGGAAACAGGCTAGGCCAGGCTTTTGCCTAAACCGACCGGGTCTATTTTATACTATCCTCCGTTCCATAAAAGTTGCAACAGTTTGACTTTCACGTTTGCCAACGTGCAACTTTGACTGTAATTATATTTATTTATGTATTAGTAAACATTAAAAAAAGTTAATATATTGGAAATTTACATTAATACAAATTTATTAATATTTTATACATAATATTTTTATTATATATATTATTAGAAAATCGTAATCAAAATGAGGTGTGTGAATAGTGCAGAAATTCCAATGTTGCAACTTTTATGGAACGAAGGAAGTAATTAATAGACCTGAGCCTGGCCTGTTACCTGTTAAAGACCCGTTTTTTCGTCCTGAGCCTGGCCTGGCCTGAGACCTGTTTAGTGGGCCTGTTAAGAAAAAAAATCAAAAGTTCATAAAAATAAAAAATAAAAAACGAAAAATTCTTTTAACCCGATATAAAAATTGTCCCCCAAATCTATCTATTTATATATAAGAAAGCAAATGGCTCATTAAAAGACCAATTTACCCTTAAAAATCTTACGTGTTGCTCAGCCCCATTTTTTCTCCTTTGCTACCCTAACGCCACCCCAAGAAAAGCCTCATTCCAATTCGCAATTCGCAGAACACACCTCAGAAAACACGGCATTTCATGCCCCTTTCCATGTTTATCTTCTGCGCAAATCACCATTTTTTCAGCCTTTACGTTTCTCACATCTCCCCCATAGGCTTAATTACCGCACGGCCACACCCGTCACTTCACCGAATCTAGGGATTACAACTATATATATAAGAACTCGCCAAGGTACTTTGTAATTCTTATTTCTCTAAATATCTCGGTTTTCTGTACATAGACATGAAAAGATGATTAAATAGGTGAATCTGTCTAAACCCATGTCTACTTCTGTGTCGATGTAGTTTTTAATCATATCAACCCAGCTTTGCAATCACAGATTCTTGGGTGCCCGAGAGCAGAGGTACTCTCCAATTCTTGGTTTCTGTATTGTCAATTCTCTGTGTGGTGCTTCACTCCAGCACTCTTTATAGTTTTCACCCCTATCGATTAACCTGCGGAATTCAAATATTCTTCACTAATCCGTTCCAGATCATCGTCTTATATCAAACCATTATTAATCCGATTCGATTTTTTCAGCGACTTACCCGATCGGGTATAGGTCATACCCGACCGGGTACAGCACCAAAAATCAGAATCTTGAGATTTTTGCACCTTCCTTCCATTTGTGATGTTCACCAATGGTCCTTAGAGTGATCTTGGACCTGTTTGAGCTCAGTATAAACCTAATCTAGACAAATTACAAACATTTTTACAAATTAAACTATTACACCAAAAGTGTGTAATTTCCAAAGTAATAATCAATCAAAACTAATTAAAAACACATAAATAAATATGGAAATTACATGAATGTCAACTCCCCCACACTTAGCTTCTTTGCTCGTCCTCGGGTAAAGTCAAATGTTTATAATTATAATTTATCAACCTCAAGTTACCAATTTATCAACCTCAAGTTATCAATTTTAATTGCTAAACACATTTACAAAATTACACATTTATTATCAATTCAAATAATGATAATAAATCTAAAAATTATAACAACACAACAATTCAACAAACATTAAATCTGAAAATAAACAAATTACAAGAATTCAACAAACGATTCACCAATTCAATAAATCGAAAGTTCACAAGAATTAGCAAATTAGCAACTAAATGAATAAAACTTATAAAAGAAACTGGATGCAGTGGACTGACCGGAAGGGGAGGCCGGAGGGCGGCGGAGGCGGTCGGCTGCTGCGGAGTGCGGTGGCGCCGTGGCGGGAGCAGGGAGCTTGAGGAGTTGAGGTTGTGGGCCGTCTGGCGGTGTGCGTTGGCGATGTCCTGGAGGCTGGAGTCTGGAGGCCTTGCCGCCTTGGCGATATCCTGGAGGTTGGAGTCGTCCGTCGTCGGTAGTGGAGAGGCGGAGTCGCGGAGAGGGCGAGAGGGATGTCGATTGATTGTCGTGACTCGTGGAGAGCAGCGAGCGAGCAGGAGAAGGGGATTGGGGGAAGTGATTTGGGCTAAAAACTTATGGGATGGGAGGTAATACTAATTTTTTTTGGGGGGGGGGGGGGCTCCAAAATACCGGGCCCTGTGCGGTTGGGCTGGGCACACAGGCCCAGGGCCGACCCTGACGGGATGTAATACACAAATATTATATCCCGTAATCTTTAATACATAAGCACAACTATATGAATCAAATGAATGAAAGAATCACAAATAAAGAATGGTAAATAGAAGTATTAAAACTTTAATAAGCATGCATACAAATTATTTAATCCTTTAGTAGTTGTTTTGGAATATCATTTTCATCATATATCACGAATTTCAAGCGAGATGAACTCATCATCCTTAAATTATAACTTGCAACTGTCCATAGAAAAAGTAGGACATCACAAGAATACTCCTCATTTCCCATTGGTTGTCCTTGATTCACCAAAACTAATTGATGGCAACTTATGAAAATAACTCCCTCCGTCCCAAAAAAATATTTCCCTGTTTGCATGCTTATTAAGAAAGTAAGAATAAAGTAAGGATGTATGATTGTGATTCTGTAAGAAAAAAGTAAATGAATAGGAATAGGAAATAAAGGTACCCTTCGTCGTCCAACTCCCACCCTGCTTCCCCACTTTCTTACAGAATTTCACCTAATTCTGTAAGAAATTAGGTGAAATTTAAATGTGCAGCACAAATGGTACGATACAGTGAAATTATGTGAAGCTGAATTGTGCATTAGGTGAAATTGAAATGTGCACTACGTGAAACTGAAATGTGCAGAATAAAAGGTACGATGTGATGTTATTTTGTACCTTTTATTCCGCACATTTCAGTTTCACCTAATGCACAATTCAGCTTCACATAATTTCACTGTATCGTACCATGTGTGCTCCACATTTAAATTTCACCTAATAGGGCTTGATGGCGTTTCCCCGGTACTTCTCGGGGATAAGGGTCGAGAGTACCCTGGTGGTGAAGGGGGTCCTCGTCCTGACCTGGATGATGGGGTCCCCTCGTCCTTCGGCCAACTCCCTCTCAAGGATAGTGACCTTGTTCAGAAGGGCGTTGAAGCCGGGATCTCTGGACGAGTTGCCAGTGGGCGTGGCGGCCAGCTATTTCGCCTCCATCTGGGCGGGCCTTCGCTCGAGCTGAGCGATCACCTCGTCCTTGGGGTCCCTGGCGGCCGTAGTGGCGCCCTATGTTTGCAAGCGGGCTGCATGAGCCGTTTTGATTTGATGGCGGGCATCATCCTCATGCAACTTCCCCTTGCCCTTGTCCAGGAGGGGCCAATACGCTGTCCGGGACACCGACCCCAAACTTTCCCTGGCTGAGCCAGGCTCACGCCGCTTAATCCTCCCCACCATCCTCTCCGAAGCTTGCCGACGGCACGTGTCACCTAGCCTGTTAAAGGCTGAGGCTTTTCCACGCGCTGGGGCCGGTCCAGCTCGAAGTGGGGAAGCAGGGTGGGAGTGAGACGACGAAATGTTCTGGGCCACCACCCCTTCGTCGGTTCCTAGTTTGACGGCCAACGACTGGGGCTGAGGAGGCGGTGTACTGTTCTCCCCAGTCCTTGGCATGAGGGCGCTGAGAACGGTGGGGTTCTGGGCCAAGCTGGCGATGATGGCCGTGAGCGCAGCCTGAAGTTGAGGGTCAACAGAGGGAGAGGCCGGTTGCACCGAGGCATTGTCGCCTTTCTCCGCGCGCTTCTTGTCCAAGCCGAGGCGGGCATCAGGGGCACCGTCGTTGAGCTTGTTGCGCAGGTCTCCTGCGAGGTCGATGGCTTCCCGGAAGACATCGCCCTCGGCGGCCTTGTCGGCCGTGGCGTCCTCCTCGTGTTCCTGGTTCTCTTGGGCCTCAGGGATGGCCTTGCCGAGGAAGTTGCGGTTTGACTTAGTTCTTCCCATTGTCAGTTAGTTGTGCTTGGTAGCGACGAAGGAGGCTAACTTGATTGTTCTAGCTCTCAATAAAAGCACCAAATGATAGAGTAAATCTAGAGAGAAATGAGAGCTAGAGAGAGAAGTGGTATAAATGTTCTATATTAATGAATTTCAGAACCCCTATAACTACTCACAGAGGGAGTATTTATTGGCAAAATTAGGGTCGGGCTCCCAAGTCTTAGGCTTGGGAGACCCATTTACAATAGGGTCACTATTGGGCTGAGTACTAGAGATGTAGAAATAATTAAGTATAAAATCCTATTCTGGAGGCTGCTCGTGGCCGATGAGGGCATGGCCGACGAAGACCCGGCCGACGAGGTTACCCGGTTCTCCTGGCTTCTGGACCGTATTCTTAGTAGACTTCTTTCTGGCCGATGGAGGTCATCTGACCGACGAGGGTCCCACTAGGTGATCGTGGAACCTTCTGTTCTTCCGAGTATGTGGGCCATGGGGTCCAGGCCCATATACTCCATCAAGGTGTATTCAATATAGACTTTTAAAATTCAACGAAAGTCTATGTGTATTCAATGTAGACTTTTAAAAGTCTAGTGTATTCAAATATCCGTTCATTCTTATTGACTTCTAAAATCACGGATTCTCGTGGACTTTTAACTTATTATTAGTACATTAATTCTGTGTATTTCAATAGGGAAGGCAGTCAACTGAATTTTAGAAGATAACAGCGCAGTTAGACAGCGCAGTGTATTTCATAAAATCATTTGATTGCCTTCTCGATTGAACTGTTAGCTGAAATTTGATATGGGTAAACTAGACTTAATAAAAAAAATGCTCAAAAAATTTAATCAAAAAATTCCACCGGAAACCGCCCCAAATGGCGATAGCCAGGCAAAGCCTCCTGTAAAAGGACTTATTTGCATTTTTTATGAAAGTTTGAGGACTTATTTGATAGTTCTCCCGATAAAAATATGATATCTTTTGAATTTTCCATAAAAGTGACCAGATCAAACTTGGAATTGACAAAATACATATAAAGGGTTGTTTCATGTGCATAGAAAGTGACGTTTTGGATAAAACGCTAATTTCAAATGCACCACACCCATAGAGGAGACATATACTAGACTAAATCAATTAGAACACACATAAATAAGACTTAAACAGAGCAGACTAGAAAATTATCATCCAAAAAAAAATATCCAAAATGATTATAAATAAAAGAAATCCCCGTCATATTAGAACAAATTTTGAATATAAACTATAAACAACACCTGCTAGAATTAATTATAATGAAGTGCCGGTGATAAAAGGCCAAATAGCAAAAGCGACGGATACGTTTCAAGTTTTCAACCATAGCTATGTGTCACATATAACAACCATGCTCGATGTGTATAAGAGTGTGTACAAACATCATTTTTGCACATATAAACTCTACAAACATTTTTTCTAGCGAAATTAATTAAAATAACTCAATCATTATCTTCAGTTCATGATGAAATTCTTAATGTAACTTAGAAGGTGTTCTCTTCACCTAATCTGAATGTTTGTGATCTGATCTGAATGTTTCTGATCTCCTAAATATTTTTGATTTGATCTAAATGTTTCTGATCTGGTCTGATCTAATCTGAATCTTTCTGACCTGATCTGATATAAATCTTTCTGATCGGATCTGATCTGATCTGAGTTTTTCTGATATGATCTGATCTGATCCGATCTGAATAAAATAAGAACAAACAATAAGTAATAAGAATAAGACAAACATAACAGCTTCTTAGAACATCTTTATTGATCCAAAAGGTGGAATCTCCCACCCCAGGAGCCCCCCCACCCCGACCCGACAGGACGGTGGGGAGATTAGTCACGGTGACTCAGTCAGCAGAATGGTAGTAGGCCCATACATTCATGCGCACCAGAGGCCCAACCTTATTTCAGGTTCTGTGACCTCCACCCGGTCGCTGCGGAGATTCGAACCTTGATGCATTGATCCAAATCTTCCACCACTCGACCAACTGAGCTACTCGTGCGGATTCTTAGAACAAAAATATATTGTATATGTATAAGAGGTCCGTTTGTATTTTGGTTTGACCATATAGTAGACATGATTAGACATGTCGATCCAAATTAAGATATGATTTACTACGTATTTTTTTGGCTAAATAGTCAAATAGGTCCATATACCAGTCGTGTAAGTTCAATTTAGTTTCTAAACTAAAAAATATCCAATTCGCAACTTAAACCGGCAAAAGAGGGTTCAAATTTCATTTTTTACAGGTAAACAACCCGTAAAAAAGGTCCAATTCACACCCTTAAGCTATTATAGGTGTGTACCAAAAAGTGTATAAGAGCGTGTACAAACATCATTTTTGCACATATAAACTCTACAAACATTTTTTCTAACGAAATTAATTAAAACAACTCAATCATTCTCTTCAATTCATGATGAAATTCTTAATGTAACTTATAAGATGTTCTCTTCACCTGATCTTAATGTTTGTGATCTGATCTAAATGTTTTTGATCTGATCTGAATATTTTTGATTTGATCTAAATGTTTCTGATCTGATCTGAATCTTTCTGATCTGATCTGAATGCTTCTGATATGATCTGAATCTTTCTGATCGGATCTGATCTGAATTTTTCTGATCTAATCTGATCTGATCTGAATAAAATAAGAATAAACAATAAGTAATAAGAATAAGATAAACAGAACAACTTCTTAGAACATATTTATTGATCCAAAAAGTGGAATCTCCCACCCCAGGAGCTCTCCCATCCCGACCCGACAGGATGGTGGGGAGGTTAGTCACGGTGACTCACTCAGCAGAATGGCAGTAGGCCCATACACCCGTGCGCACTGATGCGTACTATTTAGAAGTACATAAACACCACATTTTAGAATGGTTTTACATTATTTTTACTTACCTTTTGTACAATTACGGTGTAATCTTTATCTTCTAAAATTAAAGAAGAATTAGAAGATAGTAAGATATTTTGTTATGTAAGCAAAAACATGATGAAAAGAAGAGGAAGGAGCTTGGTAGCATAAGGAAGGAGCATTGGAGACAAGAGGAAGTTTCATGGAGGACAAAGATGTGTGAAAAATCGGATATGATTCGAACCGGAGATCATAAGAGATCAAATAAAACAAGTGAACATGGGAAAATCAGATTATGTCTTAGACCCAACCACTTCACTTCTCCTATAAAAAAACTTCTTTCCTTCCCATTTTAGAGACCAATTTAATCCCCTCTTTCATATACACTTTATTCTTATAATTTAGGTAATCTTTCCATCTTGGTTTTGCTACTTTGAATCTTAATGAATTGTAAGTTGTGAGTTATTTTCTTTAATCTTCTTCCTTGAATATTATTTTTTCCCTTAATACTCTCTATATTAATGTTGGGGAGTGTTACTAAGATGACAATTAGTTAACATCTCGACATTAGTTAGGGTAATATTTATTTTCTTCCTCTATATTAATGTTGGAGAGTGTTACTAAAATGACAATTAGTTAACATCTTGACATTAGTTATAGTAGGATTTACATCTTCTTTAATATTCTTCCTTGAATATTAATTAATTCCTATTCATATTTCATTTTAATTATTTGAGCATTACTTAAAGGATCAACTAGTTTTGTCTCATATATTAATTATTACCAGAATCGATCGACGAATACGCTTGTTAATCATTCCATATTTTCACGGTAGTAAACTTGGATTATTAATGCATGCGTTTCATGGTTAATAATCTAAGGGGAATTAATTATATCGATTAAACAAATAAACCGCTTGTGTTGAATTTATCAATTTCAATCATTTTCATCTTGAATTTATTGCTACTATCGAGTAAATATACGGCGTGTGTTCTATATTAATTCGGTAGTAAGTTTTATTAATGAACGCGTCTCGTTATTAATAACTACCCTCGATGAACTGGATATATTCCTCGATTGAGTATTCGAGAGGAAGATAGTTAAAGATATAACCGGGATCGATGAACATTTCATTAAGTGGATAAAACCAAAACCAAAACTAATTACCTTTGATATTTTATTTCACTCATTTAAGTATTTTATTTGCTTTCTAAATTATCAAAATATCCAATTCCCCCTTCCGTTTACTTTTATTTATTACGCTTACACATACGCGAAAAGCTCCTTTCCCTGTGAATACGAACTCTACTACGTTATACTACGGTATTAGCCCTTAGTAGTTAATTTAATTTGCGGCATACTACGACAAAGTGCTCGTCAAATTTGGCGCCGTTGCCGGGGAAAGGCTCCACTTTTTAACTGTGTGTTTGTGTAATTTTGTTTTTAATTTTCTTTAATGTTTTTTTCATTTACCTTGAATAAATTGAAAAGAGGGGGTACACACTTCGATTCTCTACTCCACCCCAAATCCATATTCCCAACTTAACTCCATTTGTCAGTGAGATGAAGAAAAAATGAGGAGCTAGGATGAAAACCCGAAAAGGACTCCAAGGCAAAATTAGAGAAAACGAGATAAATTTTAATTTTTGTAGGAGAAAATTTCGTGTGTAAGTTCAAACAACAAGATACCGGATCGGGTACAGGCCATACTCGTTCGGGTGTTTTCAAAGAGTTTCTCGAAATATTCAAAGGAGGCTAGCACAAAAAGTTTAGCATGGGGGAGCATGAACAGATAAAACCTTGGGAGAAGAAACCGATTTTAAATGTGAGAAGAAACGTGACACTCCTATGCATTGAACTTAATAGAATTGCACTTTACTCGAGGACGAGTAAAAGATTAAGCATGGGGGTATTTGATGCGTACTATTTAGAAGTACATAAACACCATATTTTAGAATGGTTTTACATTACGTTTACTTTGTTTTTGTACAATTACGGTGCAATCTTTATCTTCTAAAATTAAAGAAGAATTAGAATATATTAAGATATTTTGTTATGTAAGCAAAAACATGATGAAAAGAAGAGGAAGGAGCTTGGGAGCATAAGGAAGGAGCATTGGAGACAAGAGGAAGTTTCATGGAGGACAAAGATGTGTGAAAAATCGGATATGATTCGAACCGGAGATCATAAGAGATCAAATAAAACAAGTGAACATGGGAAAATCAGATTATGTCTTAGACCGAACCACTTCACTTCTCCTATAAAAACACCTCTTTCCTTCCTATTTTAGAGACCAATTTAATCCCCTCTTTCATATACACTTTATTCTTGTAATTTAGGTAGTCTTTCCATCTTGGTTTTGCTACTTTGAAGCTGAATGAGATGTAAGTTATGAGTTATTTTCTTTAATCTACTTCCTCGAATATTAATTTTTCCCTTAATACTATCTCTATATTAATGTTGGGGAGTGTTACTAAGATGACAATTAGTTAACATCTCGACATTAGTTAGAGTAGTATTTATTTTCTTCCTCTATATTAATGTCGGGGAGTGTTACTAAAATGACAATTAGTTAACATCTTGACATTAGTTATAGTAGGATTTACATCTTCTTTAATATTCTTCCTTGAATATTAATTAATTCCTATTCATATTTCATTTTAATATTTCGAGCATTACTTAAAGGATCAACTAGTTTTGTCTCATATGTTAATTATTACTAGAATCGATCGACGAATACGCTTGTTAATCGTTCGATCTTTTCATGGTAGTAAACTTGGATTATTAACGCATGTGTCTCATGGTTAATAATCTAAGGGGAATTAATTATATTGATTAAACCAATAAACCGTTTGTGTTGAAGTTATCAATTTCAATCATTTTCATCTTGATTTTATTGCTACTATCGAGTAAATATACGGCGCGTGTTCTATATTAATTTGGTAGTAAGTTTTATAAGTGAACGCGTCTCGTTATTAATAACTACCCTCGATGAACTGGATATACTCATCGATTGAGTATTCGATAGGAAGATAGTTAAAGATATAACCGGGATCGACGAACATTTCATTAAGTGGATAAAAGCAAAATCAAGACTAATTACCTTAGATATTTTATTTCACTCATTTAAGTATTTTATTTGCTTTCTCAATTATCAAAATATCCAATTCCCCCTTCCGTTTACTTTTATTTATTACGCTTACACATACGCGAAAAGCTCCTTTCCCTGTGGATACGAACTCTACTACGCTATACTACGATATTAGCCCTTAGTAGTGAATTTAATTTGAGGCACACTACGACAAAGTGCTCGTCACACACCAGAGACCCAACCTTATTTCAGGTTCTGTGACCTCCACCTGGTCGCTGCGGAGATTCAAACATTGGTGCATTGATCCAAATCTCCCACCACTCGACCAATTGAGCTACTCGTGCAGATTCTTATATCATATTTATTGTACTAGACGAAGTACCCGTGCGATGCACGGGTATATCTAGAGTAGTAAAACAACTTCTTTAAAATTATGTTCTATTTTGATGGTACGTAATGCGTACTTTTGTTAAATACGAAGTATAAAAAAGGAAACGAGGTTTATATGTTGTAAGTTTTATTATATAATACTTCGTAGTCCGTAATAGTTTGCAAGAAAAAGGCAAATTTAAGACCTTCAAAATTTGTAAAAAAAGGGGAAAATGTATTATAAAATGTTACAACTCTCTCATTGAGATTGGTCATGTTGAGACCTTTTTTTGTCGAATAAATGGTTTCTGGGTCCATGCTTCCTGATTCCAGAGAAAGAGATGATGATTCTGCATGAACCTTGATTCTCATTTTCGCTTAACCACATTGAACCAAGATAAACTCAAAATCATGATTTCTACAAACGAATGTGTATTCTGATCAAACACGATGCTAAATGAAATGGAAAGTAGAGTTGGTACGTATGCTTATCAACCGGACCACATGCATGATCTTTAGAGAAAAACCTGTAATTGTGTTGTTTTCAATATTTTGAATCTTGGATTATTAAAATGTGGTGACTAAAAAATTTGATATGATAACATAATACAATCTGAATGTTGTGTATTAAAAGCATAATTTTTGAAGTATAAATTCAAAATTACTGCAGTCCATATTCAAATTAATGATACGGATGCTTGGCTTCTAATTAAATTGAGTTAAATTGAACATATATTAGAACTAATGACATGAATGCATGTCTTCTCAATAAAGTTAATCATATAATTGAATTTAGGATATGCATGGATGCATGAATTCTTATTGTAGAAGTATTCAAGCTCATAAACTGAAATATGTTTATAACTCTACATTTTAACAAATCTTATGTTTATGAAATATAAGGAGTTGTTTACTTTTTCCTATTAAGTCCTGCCTGGATTAAGTGATATTTGTATATTAAGTTGTTTTATTTTCCGTGCTGAATAAATCATTTGAGTAGAGTAAATTTATCAATTTAATATTATTATTAAGTTATATTGACAATGAATAATGTCATTGATTAACATGTACTCCATATATATTAGATATAAAAACTGAATGAATAGATGTCTTTATGTGGATTTTCACAACTTAATGATTAAGTGATTTTTTTGACCGAATGAATTGAATAAGTCATGTTTTCAGTTAAGTTGTAAGTAAACACGTCTTAATAACTAAACAATTAAATCGTCTTTCTTATTTATAAATTCATTAAGTCATAAGTAAATGGCCCCTAAATCAAGTAGACTAAACTAATTTATTTAAACAAATTAAATAACTTCTATGGGGCCTACTGGTCAATATTCGAATGTCAAACTATCTCCAGAGACAAATGAGTTGTTTTCATAGGGCGATTTACCAACATCTTTGATGTTCATAGTTTTTGTACAAATGAATTACTTAGGTTGGAGACCTCTTACTTTAGGAAAGAAAAGGACTTCAAATTAATGAAAACCCATATTCCTCAGGTTGTGTATTGTAACTACATTTTGTACACATTTACCAAGCTTGTATTCTATGTTAGCTATGATCATTCAAATTTAATTTTGAAAAATCAATTACGTTTAGTTACAATAAGTTGTTGAAGGGTTATTCCACAAAATAAAGGCAGAATAGTTCGTTGCAGATTATAACTGAAGTATAACAAAAGTTTGGTTCAGTCTATAGAAGTGCATATAAATTATTGAGTAATGAGGAAATATTAGTATAATAAATACATAATTCTACAAAATAATGTGAATGTGTTTTTTAAACATAAAGTATATTCAGATTAAATAATCATTATTTAATTATTAACTATGAGGATAAATTTTGAAATTAGATAGAAATTACCTTATGGTCGAGTGAAATCATCTCCAGTGCGGTGACATTTTGTGACTTTTGGTGCACAATAATTGTCACAGTGGGATGACACATACACAAACTCTCTAATCAATACACCCGAGTTGAAATCACCGAGATTCATTGAGCATGAAAACTATTACAGTTA